TTACCCGTTCTTCGCGTACCAGAGCGATCCGAGGGCCGAAACGCTGGCGTTTTGTCTGTTCCAACCCAACTCGGGCCGAGTCGACTCAGGAACTGGAATAAAGTATATGAACATGTTCGATGCTCAGGTCAGTGGTCCACTCTCCAATTCGCTTCATTGCAAAATTTTAATTCAAATTAATAATTATTTTCAAATTCTTTTTTGTCCTGAAAGACCCGCGACGTATACTTTAAGTCAACAGACACGATATTTAGATTGTGACACGTGTCAGAATTTAAATTTTACCTCTGCCCAGTCCTGTAGTGTGGAGTTGTTGGAAACCAGCCAAACCACGTCACTTTTTTTTGTGGGGTTGCTGATGGTTTTATTTAATTATTCTTTTTTGCAAATAAAACTCTGATTTATATTAGCGAAAATTCGAGATTCAATTTTACCATTTACAGAATCCAAAATTTAGAAAGCTAGCTGAATGACGTTAGGATCTATGTCAATTTTGGGTTTCTTTCCAGGCAGCTAAATTTGGATTTTTTTTAGTGGAGGATCACCTCAAGTCACAAGAATACTTTTCAAAGATCTTGTTGTTATATTTGGTTATTTTGTTATAATTTGGAGTTGCTGATTGCTTGTCGGAAAACTTTGCCTTGGATGTGAATGTGTTTAAACGGTGTGTGCCCGCAAGGTGTTTGCGATATTGCGTGAAAGAAATCATTGTATGAAAATCACTCTTGCTTAAACACCTCTCCCCTGATTTTTCACCCAATTGAAGACTAAAAGCAAATATTCTGCTGTATTTTCAACCCAAAAGGCTAAAATATTAGGCAAAAGTGATGGGTAGGGTGGGAGATGATTCGGCTTTAGAATCCTTGCAAATAAGCTTGCTTTTCCTCTTTGATGTGACTTGTATTTTGCTTGGTTACAGCTGGCCAATGGCATTAATGTCGGTAAGTCCTTCCAAGATTTCAATTATTGTAGCAGATGAAGAAATTCCTACACATTAGTGTCCTGGAATTTCTCTTCCTTTTCCTTTTGAGATGTATGGGGGTACATTTCAAAATCTTGGGTTAGTTGAAAATTTAATAACTTAGAACTTTATTGTCTCTTGGAGCTGGCTTTGGAGTGAAGAAGTCTCTTTGAAAATTAGTGAGGGTAGACCGTAAGCGTGGAGCGTAATGCGTGGGTCCGAACACTTCATGGTCACAAAGAAATTTATGATCAGCAAGGGACCACATAATATGATGAATGATTCTGTTACTGGAGGGTGATGCTGGTGTCTTCAACTCCCATGTCTGTTTTCAACTGTATTTCTGATGCCTTACAATAGATTCTAATAATTTTGACCTACTATCTCCATTATAGGGAGCTATTGCTTGGTTCATGACCCATATTGATTTTACAGCTTGATGCAGTACGGTCTGCCTTGAATGCTCTGGATTCCAAGGATGTTGAGATCATGGTGGCCGAGACGGGATGGGCATATCGCGGGGACAGCAATGAAATCGGACCAAGTGTGGAAAATGCAAGAGCCTACAATGGAAATTTGATTGCCCATCTTAGATCAATGGTGGGTACCCCATTGATGCCTGGAAAATCAGTGGATACATATATCTTTGCTATCTATGACGAAGATTTGAAGCCCGGTCCCACCTCCGAACGTTCATTTGGACTGTATCGTCCGGATCTGAGCATGACATATGATGTTGGACTCTCAAAGAGCAGCCAGGTGATAGCCTTCATACTGTGTAGTCAATGGTTTAAATGTGTTGGATCATCCTAGTTCTTGTTTGATAAACAAGTTCCTTTGAGATGCTTAATTAGCAAAGTAGTTGAAGTTTACTCTTTATGTTCCAGACTCCATCAACTCCAACTCCAACAACACCAGTCACCCCGTCACCCAAACCGACTGCACCTGCGTGGTGCGTGCCCAAAGCAGGGGTCTCTGATGCTCAACTTCAGTCAAATCTCGACTATGCCTGTGGGCACGGTATTGATTGCGGGCCAATCCAACCGGGGGGTGCCTGTTTTGAGCCAAACACTCTACAATCACATGCTGCGTACGCCATGAATCTCTACTACCAATCTGTTGGCAAGAATCCCTGGAACTGCGATTTCTCACAGACAGCAACACTAACATCCACAAATCCTAGTAAGTTTTCTTTTCCTATAGCTGCTCCATGCACTTTCAGCCCAGGCTATAGAGGTCTGGATTTAAATTTCCATCAACCAACATTTGAAGCTAGAAAGTAGTCCAGTTTTGGAGTTTAAAAAATTAAGTTTGTTTGCTTATAACTCTTTTGTTTTGTTATACACTCTTCTCGAAACACTTCAAGGATCTTAGCCAAATTTCAAGAAATGCTTTTAAAGATTAGATAACAAAAGAAAGAAAGTGTAGCACAAAAGCTTTTAGTTTTGGTTTGAAACATCATATTGTAGTCTTATTGCACTGGTTGAAGTTTTTACATTCTTTTTGTGGTTTTTTCAGGTTACAATTCCTGCATGTACTCAGGGGGAAGCACCTGAGAAGGGAGATCATATTGCTGTGATTTCAGATTAAGATATAGTCTAGAGGTGTCTAAGAAATTTGAAACAAACCAATGAAGCAATAATCTTAATTGGCCTACACTTTGCATTGTCCTTGAAATTTGAACTTTTCCCTCGGCTCAAAATTTTCACATCATCAAAATTGTCGGCCGACGGGAGCCATTCTTAGCTATCTGTCTAACCTTTCTACGTTCTAGCCAAAATGGCTTCCTTCATGTGGTCGCATAAGTTCATTTAAGAATAATAATAATAAGAAAAAAGTTCATTTAAGGTCCATTGTTTTGGGAATTCCTAGCGCCTAAAAAGGGTTAGTTGGGTGCTGATTACCGATTAAAATTTGACAGCTTTGAAGAAAAAATTCTACCTTTTTCTCTTCTACTTATCAAAAATTTAATAGTGATCAATAAAGCAATGACGGTAAACACCTACAAGTGTTGTAAACAAAATTACCTACAAGTGTTGTAAACAAAATTGACGAATTCTACGAAATCTTTTGCTCATACATGAAAGAGGGATTGCTTCATTTTCTCCACTCCCATGACCACAAATTCAAAATTCCATACGAAGATTCAGCCACACCTTCCAATTGACCTTCTTCATTTGATATATGCCAGTCTGTCCTTCTTCCTCACCAAGTTATCCGGTTAGGGTTAACCATTACCAGCCATTTGTAATCTGATCCAAACAATATCTACTATACCAGTAGTGTACCAATTATAATAATATCCATCTTACTCCAAAATGGGCTACAAGATTTTACACACGACCCAACCCACCATTTGGGCCCACTTCTTGGATATTTTCTCTTGAAAATATTGCAATACTCCAAACTTGATGAGAGAGTAGAGTAATTTTGTAGATGTGATGAGTCATGATGAGATACTTTTGTTTTATATCGATGAGTATCGAGTCAGTTTGTAGGCTAATTTGCATGCACTTTGACTAATCTTACGGAACAATCACCCGACCGTATTACATTTGGTTGCTAGGAAAACTCGTAGAATATCAAATCTTAAGTAGTTGACTACCATAGTTTGAACCCATCGTGACAAGATACCCAAAATTGTTGAAATAAGGACCAACTTATAAAAAAGACTCAAAATTCTCCTACTAATTCAACATCGAATTTCGCAGTGACCAATATTTGCCAATGCTAATTTGAACTTGACACTACTTGCTTTCCAGATTAAACTAAATTCAAAGAACAGCTGAAATTTCCTGGATATTAAAGTTCATAATGAATTTATTGATCGTTTTAGGTGAACTTTTCTCAACGGCAAGGAAAAATGTTTAATGTCAAGATAAAAATTTCTGTTCCTGCTTACATATATTTGTGAAGCAAATTGGTTGCTCCCCCCAACGAATGAAATCTTCCCCTTTCAGGTAACGTACAACACCTAAAAAGAGGGAAAAAAATACGATGAAAAAGTAGAGGTTGGGTCATAACTAAAATACAGCAGGAGTTGAGCCTTCCCAAGAACCACGATATGATGGTATGCTTTAGCAAAAATATAATGGAATTGGAGCTAAACAACAGCTAAATGAAAAAGTAAAACCTGGAAGGCTAACGCCCAAAAATGAAGTGGTTTCATGGTTGATCTTTCTTAAGCTGTCAACCTCTGATCCACAGCAAGGCTGGAAAAAGAATTTCTGACTGAAGGGCCCACTTAGCCGCTGGAGATAATCTCGTGAATGAGGTCACTCACTGTTTCATCGTCAGATCTAACAACCAGCTTCATTGCAACCTCCCTTGAAGCGTCGAGACCGAACGACAGACGTGCGAGAACTTTCACGTTCCCAATGAATATACCAGATAGTAAACATGTGTGTGACCGCATATTGCTAGGGACATCTTCTGTGCCCTGGAAAACAATGAAATGATGTAAGGAGACAGAAGAAACAGATATTACATCTGATTTGAGAGGAGGGATATTCTAATCACGAATAATCACTACGAACCTGTTTGGTAACGTTCCTGTTTCTTCAGTTTTAATGAAGAAAAATGAATTGCATGGTCCCACCAATATTCATGAATTCAAATATAATAATATGTTTTGGAACAAATTAAAAATTGGAACAAGGAAGAAGAAACTTGTTTTGATTGTTTCCAATGTTTCTATACAATTTTGAGAATGTTCCCCAAAAAAGGAGAAACAAGGAACATAGTTAGTTGCAAAATGCTAGATTTCTTAAGAAAATTGAAAACGAGAAACAAGAAATGGGGAGTAACTGAACAAGCCCTACATTGTCAAAAATTTTGGTGCAAATGAATAGGTTAACTTCTTTGGGTTGCAGGAGGAAAGATAAGGAACCAAAGGTAGGACACGCAACAAAAGCAGCCAAGCCACTAGATTAAGTTGTTAAAATGGAACTAAAACGTTATCGTTAATTGACACCCATTACTGAGAATTATCAGTTTTTAGGAAAGCATGGTAAACAGAAAAACCCTGAGCAACTAATCAGAGTTCATTTTTTGAGATGACTTGTTTTCCTAAAGTGACAACACATCAATTGTACTGTTCTATTATTCGAAAGTGTTTCATAAGATGGAAATAGTTATGCACGTACGAAATAAATCTTTAAACGCATACCTCACAGGGCTGCATTCCCAGAAGGTCTATGACAGCGCTCACAGCTTCAGACAAGCTTCCTCTTGGGCCTAATCCATATTCATCGACTCGTTCACCATCTTCGCCAATGCTTTCCCATGCATTTCTGAAGTTGGACACAGCAACTTTCAACATGTAATCTGCTGCGACCACCTCAACGTCCTCAAGCTGGTATTCATCTTCAACACCATCTTCCTCTGCCTCGCCAGTAGATGGATCAATCTGTTGTCAAAAATGAAGGAAAAGAAAATTAGTAGATGGATCAGTATAGAAACTATCTGAATGCCTTTTTCCTTTTTGAATAAGAAACAAGGATTCATCGATTAACAAAAATGTACAAAGGTTACCACGGATTAAAATTTATTTTTTCTTCCAAATGGAAGCTATCGTGGAGTAATTACAAAAAGCTTTGGAGGAAAAGCTCCAAAATAAATCAAAGCAAACCAACAAAAAACTTATTTGAATGCTTAATTATTGATCAGAAAGTACTTCTGAAGCGATTAGGGGAGCATAAAAACTTCCCCAGCCGAATGTGTCGTAGATGTATTGAAGTTTTGATGAAAAAGCCAACATTTAGGCATATAATATAGATTCCCGTAGAACATATAAATTTTGTATCTTAAAAACAAAGTTATGTTCACTTTAAAATGTATAAATTCATTCTTATTGTGAAATGGCATGCTAGAACTCACAAATCATGTCCATAAAAAATAACAGAGACTTGCAAACCAAAATGATTGAGCATAAACGAGAGACGAATTTTTGTCGTAATTAATTAAAATGACTCTTCATCAAAGAAGGATGCAGCACAATTTGATAAATACGGGAAAATTCAATACCTCTTTGACAATGAACTTCAACATATTTGAGAACTTCCCAACAGCAGCAACTCCATCTGGCTTCTCAAATGCCACAAAGGTTTGCCCAGGTGTATTGTAAGGAAGAGTTCTGAGTGGCTTGGATACTACTTCCGAGAATTCATCTGCTTCTGAGGCATCCACAATAACGTTGACCTGCAGAAGCAGACAACATTATGAAAGCATATCTCTAGGTGGTTCAACAAAAATTTCCACGTTCCTTGATTTTAGGCATTACATTTTCCAGTTGCTGCTCAGGAATTGTATTTGTGCAGTTATATTGAAAGACAACGTGTCTATCAAAAATATGCTTGACGACGTTTACAGCATATTCTGTTTCTGCCTCTGTAAGCTCTGTAGATGCCGATGACTGCAAGGACAACACAAAAGTTTCCAAATAAAAAATCAACACACTAGTATATAAGGATTTGGATGGATCGGTTTAATAAAGAGTCTGGATGGAAGAACCTTGAAAAGCTTCCCAAAGTCAGCAAATTCTTCAATGGAACGAAGTATCTTTTCATAAGTATCAACAGAAGAACCAAGGATAACTGGAGGAGCCCCAAGCCCAGTCGATTTTTTACTACTGCCTTTCTTCTCAGCAAGTGGTTGGGATTTAATCTCCGTAGGCACAGAATCAATATCAAAAGGTTCCTCAGAAGGTTCCTGTGACCATAAGCAATGAATGAGATAGTGACTGGTAAACTAAAATTAACGACACCAGGTTCAAACACCTTACATAATTTTTCAAACTGGCCTCTAGGTTGCCCAGTGGCAAGTTTAGAGACCCAAAAAGAATTTCTTGCACGTCTTTTTCATTTTCAACAACTGAACCATCCGCTCCAAGTGTCTTAAGATAAAGGGTTGCCCTATCACGGACCTGCAGTTTATAATTAGTCCATAGTTACACATTTTTTCAGGTCAAAAAGAAAAGAAAAAGAACTTCTAAATCAAGTCTATATTCTCAAAGAAAAAGAAAATGAGAAAAAAGAGTATTTCTGAAATTCAAACAAATAAGAAACAACAAAACAATAGAAAAATCATAACAATGATGATAGATACACAGCATTGACACTAACGCAATATTTTTACCAACAAGATACGATGATGAATAAGTGACTGAATAATAGTGTATACACTATTCAGAATAAATCATCAAGAACAATAAAATCTAAGACCTGTAAAATAATAGACTCACCTCATCATCACTGTCAAAAAGGCATCGTCGCAAGAGAACATATATTCTGGGCTGAAACAGTTTTAGGAAATTTCCAATCAGTTCAGCAAACAGGAAAGTCAGACTCACAGTGCACTTTCACATTAGTGGGGTCAAGAGCACTAAAGTAACAATACCTTCAATGAATCGACCATGACAGCAAACTTCGCCAAAGTGCTCACTGCACAGGCTCGAACAGTTGCATTTTCAAGATGTACTCGATTATATATATAACGTATATACTTGCTAGGATCTGAAGCTTTCGGACCTTCAATCCCCAAAAAGTGAAGTATCTAATACAAGCAGAGCAAACTTATATACAACGTTAAAAGGGAAGAAAAATACTACTTCTAAACCAATTATCAAAACAATGATGGATGACTGACCTGTGTGGAAAGATAAGTGAATTCACAGTCCTCTATGAACTCACACAAATGAAGCAAACCATTTTCTTTTGCTTCAGGGATATCTCTTATAAGGATCACAATCGAATCAACTATCACCTTTTTGTACTCGAATCCACCTTCTTCTCTGAGAATGTTGCATAGGAAGTTCATCCTAAAATAGCAAAACACAAA